CTGTCGCTGTTTATCAGTGGGGTATAATGTGGATAAAGAAAAGAAATAGTAAGGCAAGAAAAGGAATAGAAATTGCGGTTCTTTAAGGATTATATGCGTCCCCAATCCAGTTTTTTTTTTTTTGGGGGGGGGGGGGGAGGGGGCATAGGAAGTACAAAGGATGGTGTATTAGAGTCGGGGTAATATTGCCCCCTCCCAAAAAGGATATAGTGCAACACAAGTGTCTTTGAAGCATTTTGATTATAAATATCTTTGCATTATACTTCCAAGTATAATTATAAGTTTCGTTAATATCTTCTTGAATCTTTTCGCCTCCAAAACAGGATAAAGTGCATAAATTAGCATGTCAAAAGCTCAACATTCGATTGTAATCCTACATCTTAATGACATCATAGCTCAATCCCTAGTAGGCCTTGATATAATTCGTTACATTTTTAGATGATTTTTTTTCGTTGCAATTCTTATAATTTTCATGATTTTAATGAGGTCTAGTTTTATGGTGAACAAATTTTGAAGGAAGTTTTATGGAAATATTCACTCTAAAAATGCGCTTCTTGTGGTGAAAAACAACAACTATACCGCTTTAATCGATGTGCTTCAAAGCTTCAGATCGGCCTATTCAGACTTTGATTATCAACCCTTCGAGGGTTCTAGGACAATCACCCCCGGGACAATCACCTCAGCCACGTACCAGTGAGACAACCCCCGTAAAATAACCCCTAGGATAATTACGCCCACCCCCCCCCCCCCAGAAAAATTACCCCCATGAAAATTACACTCTTGGACAATCACCCCGACGACAATTACACCACCTGAAAAATTACCTCCCCCCCCCCGGACAATATTACCCCCCGAAAAAAACTCTAGAAGATTACCTCTCCCAAGGACAACCACTCCGTAATTAAAGGGGAAGTCTACCCTGATAGTAAGTTGGGTTTGATAAAAGCATAACAAATAGAGAAACAAGTTGGTGAAAGTTTGAGCAAAATCCGATTAAACATAATTATGAAAGTAATGCATTTTTGAAGTTGTCATCCGAGAAAAAAAAAATTGGCAACGCTGTCATGACTTGTTTCATGCGAACTCCTCTCCGAGTTGCTCTGCACAGAAAAATGTCATCAGCTTTCATTTTCTTAGTTTTGACGGAATAGATTTGTTTTATCATGGGTTGTATAAAAACATATTTTAAAAACATATATTGAGACTTTTGAGTTTTAAAGGTGTTTCCTTAACCCATTCCCTCCTGGAACCTGGTGGCCCCTGTATCAAACCTATGAGAATAAGAGAGTTCAGTAGTAAACGGGTTAAGGGTATATTTCCCTTGGGGTGTAAGTCCCTTGAAAGGGTGGCAATTGTCCTGGGGGGGGGGGGCGTAATTTCACCGGGGTTATTGTCTTTGGGGGTTAGTTTTCCGGGGGTACTTGTCCTGGAGGGAATTTGCCACGATACGACCCTGGGGTTTTGTACATTAAAGGCTTCTGGATAGTGAGGCAATGACGTCACGGACTCATGAGTGAGTTGCCAATTTTGTCTTGTGATTTTCAAAGTTGTTCATGTCATTAACAATTCATAACTTTCTTATTAATTATCGTTTTTGATTGGTTTGTATGATTTTTCTGCTTCTGTTATAAGCACGTTATTTTTGAAGTGGACTTGGCCTTTAATATAATCATCACGCTGTGAAGCAGAGAGGAAATATGTAGGGAGGGTGCAAATTTTCTCTTGAGGCCATAACCCCTGGATACGCCACTGATAAAGAGGATGGTACCCCGGATGAAGTCTCACCAATAATGCATGGAATCTCTCGCTTCACTCCGCGGTGTACTCAGAGAATCCAACCGAGTGATCGCCTTACAAGCACGATATTAAATAGACATCAATGGCTGTACCAATGTTGCTGCAAAAACACTCAAATGCAATGTATGGTACTCGAGATGATATAATAACGCCGGTAGAACTCGTTAAACGTTTTGACATAATAAGTTATGAAGAGAAAGTATTGAATAAAGAGAGGGTAGAGAAATTGATGAGAACTTTACAAAATAAAGGAGAGAAAGGAGAGAAAAGGACACAAAAAAGGAAAATCCGAGACGGAGAAGAGAGTATAGAGATTTGGGATGAAGAATTTTAGAAAGTCAAACTAAATCCCCCAAATTGCATGTCTGCACGTCATTAAAAATGTTATAAGATCATGGTAATAAACGAGAGTTGCTTATCGTGTTTGTATGTTGCTTTTTGTCTTTTTTACAATCATATAGTCAATAAAATGTGATCATTAACCAATAATGAAAGGAATGCCACAGGATATCATCATCAACTAAGCTTTCATCCTTTAATCTGTCGGTCAGATATATCTTGCCTGTTATAAAATTCTTGAAAATTATTTAAAGAATTCATCGCCGACAAGAAATATAAACATAGAATATGAATATATATATATATTTCCTGTATAATATTTACTGTCAGCTATGAAAACATTGCTCACTCTGTCGGTTAATTGAATCTGATCTCGCCGAAACTACTGGCCCGTTTCCGTGCTCAGGTGGTTAAGGCATTAGCGTTCTAGGCCCATGACCCGGGTTCGATTAACGGTGGAGACATTTTTATCAACCTTTATGGAAACAAAATATAGGACCGCACTGCATGTGGTACTTTGATAAAGGGACGCACCATTATTCACTCGTTTGCATTTTCAGAGTCGCTAGGTTGTTTGCATTTGAATTTTCTTCTTCTTATTATAAATATATATATATATAATATGAACAATCAAATAGTGGAAATAGTTTGCGTGTCTTTTGTTTTCATTGTACCTACTTTAAAAAAGAAATTGTGGACATTTTACCCCATGAGAGTTGCTGATGATTTAGTAAAAGGAAAAACTTTTCTTGAATTATATTTATATATATTTATAAGTAAACACACGCACATGCAATTACAGGGCTTCTAGACTTTAACTAGTTTATTTGTTGATTTTCCATGTAAATTTGAAAAAATATGCGTACTTGATGTAATTTGAAGCTTACAAGGAGCATTGTTAGCACAAAATAGATGGTTCATCGTAATCACTTTAGGGACCTCCGTAACTTTCGTCTCGTTAAGGTCCACACATCAGCCAAATCAGATTAAGGGTCTCATCATTCTTGTAAAAAAAAAAAGGGGGGGGGGCATTCTTCCAACAAAAATAAGAAGACAGTTCTCTGTGTCACATGCTGATTGAGATGCTGATTGAGTTGTGAAAACATTGATTTGCAACGTTGCTTGCTGCTGGAGTGCTGGTTCATGGACTATAGAGTACCGAAGCTGTGACGTCATAAAAATCTATTTTTAGAATTTCTCAACTTTTTCTTCGAGCATCAAAAATAATGTCCAAATATTTTAATGGTTAGGAGCCAGAGCATATAACACTGAGTTCCTGTAGGAAATATATTTATTCAGATGCTTCTATCTCAGCCAATACTTAACATATTAAATTGGTTTTCGACATTTTGACATTATTTTTGATGCTCTTTCGGACAATGAAGAAAAAATTGAGAAATTCTAAAAATATATTTTGATGACATTACACTTCACCACTCTATAGTGATACGACATTCGTCACGGGAACATGGGATATTTTCATACAGACGAGTGAAAATCTACTCTTTTTATGAGTCACGTTAGGGGTCACTTGGTTAGAAGTTGATTCCCCTCCAAACTAGTGGTTTAAATATATAACTCTTTCAGAGTGAATTCCACTCGTCTAATCATTGATTTCCACTCCAAAACAAAGTGATTCCTAATATGACCCCTTAAAGAATTGATTTCCAACCTGCACATTGATTTAGAGTACGTTCTGTACCAATCTTAACTTTCCAAATAGTGTGTCTGATATACAGCCAAGTAACTTCATAAAAAAGTGCTCATCATTCTGTTTTTATAGTTCATACAATTTATTATAGTATATACAATAGGTCTTTTGCAACAATATATGATTATACAAAAATGATAAAAATAAAGAAAAGTATTCTTTTTGAAAGAACGAGTTCTTATTCAATTTTGTCTTTCACAATCATCAAGGAATCGTAACCTACATAATAACAAGTGACACAAGTAAACCAAGCTCGAAGGGATAGTGATAAATTATGCTTAAAATATATATATATAAAAACAATCGCATCTATTTAGAACGAAATTAACTCAAGGGCAATTTCAATTCCCAATTGTATGACCCATCGAAATCATGTTCAGATTACGTAATACATCATTGTCATGTTCGCCCATTTCAATTGGTGACGCACAAGGCTTTTTAAATTAAGTGGATTTTTGTAGATCGTGATCGTGATTATCTTAAAATAATGAGACTAAATGGACAGAAATACAAAACAAAGTCATCATATTGGTTTTCAAACGGGGAACATATCTTATTTTGAGTTGATTTGATATCACCACGAGTATGATTGCAAACAAACCTTGTCTTTATGAATTAAAGCTCCACTGCACTACGTATAGCTACTCGCGCCCTCTATATAGCAAACAAAGCCTAATCGGTGACCATTGATCCCCCGTGGTCCCTTTTTCTTATGTTAATTGAGAGCTGATTTGATGAGATAACCACCTGTCCAGTGACCATGCAGGGAGGTCTAATCCCTCCTGGATAACTAGTACAGACGGGCTTAATAGAGATAATATTTAAAACTACTGCTAAAGTACCCGGCTCATTCAAAACGGTATGAAAAAGATTTGGTGAAGGCACTAATATAACCTACATATAATTTCAAACAGTAGCGCTCTCAATATGATAAGGATTGTTATATAAATGAGGATGCAGATAAAGGAAAAGATATAACTTAAATTGGTGTTTTTAACAAACATGCAACTCGTGGAATTCGATTTTAAGGTCTTATTAAAGTCTACATTTTCATTTTACCGACGATGTTTATATACTGTTTTTGGGGGGGATTGGTATATATATATATATATATATGTATGTATATCAAATCAATTATCCCCAATTAATGAAGAGCTGACCCCCCCCCCCTCCCCCTCCCCCCTCCAAGCCAGTCTATTTCAGTTTTCATTATAGACAAGTCATATACAAATCAAGGAATGTTCTCTAACAAAAGCTTTTTCATTGACAGATGACACAAAAAATCGTCTATTCCTTCATACTACAGTACATGGTCAAAATAAGAAACGGCTCATATTATTTCAGCTTATTTTACATGCCTCTTAGACATAGACACAGAAGAAATTGAACATACGCACATATTGTTATACAAAAGTTCAGCTGCAGGAGTTGTCTCTGCAAGGATGTGCATTCCTATAGCCTGGCGTCACCATGGGAACGCTCAAAGATGTTGTCTACTTCACGGCATGTAGGTGCTTCCATCTTCTGCAGAGAGCCTCATGTCTTCCTCAATCAGAGTGTGATGATCCTACATAGGGGATATTTGTAAATGATAATGAAACACAATTAATATTATTGAAAAAGAAAAAGAAAAAGCTTAACCCCACGGCTGAAATTTTCCTTTTAATTATCCACATTGAATGTTAAAGGAATAGTATAACGAAGCTTTGATTGCTGTGATAATTAGTTATTGACGATGATGAATAAGGGACAAAAATTAGAAAAAGGGAAGAAATACATCTCAGCGATTCGTGATGGGGAAAAATTGAATGACGTGATCATGTATTTATTCAACGGTATAAAGCTCAAACCGTAAGTTATCAGGAAAAACATAATAACGTGGGAGGGGGTATTGATTTGTGAAACATTGAAACAAAACATGGGTAAATATGTTCACATAAAAGACATGGAACTACCAAGACAGCTAAACAGCTAGTAGCTAAATCCTAAACCCACCATCCCATCTTCCTCCTCCTTTGGGTAAAATTGTAATCGGAATGAATTTAAAGCTGTTAGAGACTTACCATTCTTTGGTCTTTTCCTCTTGACTTCGTTAACCGTTGGATAGGTCCCCGTCTGTGCTGCCCAATGTTCGGGGTCGTTTCCCGGAGTAGGCTCTAAAGTAGATACCGTGCTCACCTGTAGTTGTTGGGGCGTGGCCTTGTCATCAGTTGCCGTTGCCATGGTACCGAAATTGCAGTTGTTGCTCTTTAGTCTGTGTTTAAGAAATATGCAGCATCGTAAAATTTGATTTGCATGGACATAGAAGGCGGATGGTTTTAAAAAGTAGGGTGGAGACCAGTGATTGGTGTGAAGAAGATGAAGAGAAATATGAAACTATTTCTCGTAATATTGGTGTCATGGATAGATTAAAAACTCATCTCCCTTCGTCTTCCTTACTTACGCTTTATTCCTCTCAGGTCTTAATTATATACTCCTGGTGTGAGGCAATACACACCTAAATTTGTTAAACAGAATCTTATTATTACAAAAGAAAGCTCTTCGTATCGTTAGCCTTTCTCATTTTCGCTCTTATACGGATCCTCTTTTCTTTCCAAAAAAATATTGAAAGTTAAAGATCTTTATCTCTTTCAGTTAGGCCAGTTTATGTATTCTTATAATAACAACATGCTTCCTTTCGTTTTTGATATGTTCACCCTAAATATATCCTCTCATATAAGTACCCAACTCGGCATTGTAATTAATTTCATCTACCTTTGCTGAGAACCCTTCTAGCTCAAAACACGTTTATTTATACAGCCCCACATTTTGGAACTCTATTCATAATGACATTCAACTTGCCCCCTCTCTTAATTCATTTAAGAGGAAATTGAAGTTGTTTCTAATACTTCCTTTACAATACAAGTTAGTATCAGTGCATTGTCAAATCATGTCTTGCCTTCCTTTCCTCCCGTCACGTTTTTTTAACGCTCTGTATGTATCTTACTATAATTGTGGTCACTAAAATGTATTATATTATTGAATTTTGAATTTTATATCTGATTTCGTGTCAAAATTACTGTTCTGTTGGAAATGAAAAATAAAACTGAAACTGGAGATCGATTTCAAAGAAATGTGTTGTTGAGTTGATCCCTGGACCAACAGCTTCTCTTATAATTGTCAATGAGGGTTACTTAGCAACTCTCTCAGTGGGTCTCGGTATGAGGTGAAAAGGTCATCAACGGTTTCCATTGATGGGTAAATTAAGCAAGCCAGCCCCCTGATTTAACAAATCGGTTGATTTCATTTTCCTTTGTAGTTTGCGAGAGCAATCTAAAAAAAAAGCTTATCGCAAGATAGGGTCCTTTCATACAAGGAGCATATATTTGTAATTCAATTTAAAATCTCATCGGGCTCTATCTACTACAATCATCGTTATCCTAAATCCTATATCAATGAAATAGCTTAAACTGGAATGTGGAATGTATGCCATGATTTGAACTCTTGCGAGTCTATATCGAATTATTCGAATTGCCTTGCTTTATGCCCCACCAAAATAAAGGTGTCCATAATTCAGAGATATTATTTTTCACATATATCACTCTGCCGTGACAATGGTTAGGCAAACGTAAAGCACAGCCAGTACAGTTTCGCAATAGTACGATAATCTGTTATTTTTTTTTTAATGAAATAGAGCAGCTCTTCCCTTCTCAAGAAAGAAGTATCCATGATAATACAAGCGTAATCCATTAAGATATATAGTATTTACACATAATTATACTGCATCGTCAGAAAAATGAAGCATCTTATTAATAATAATATTATCTGGTGTAAATTAAGCGGACCGTCTCCCCCGCCGTCGCCAGTGTTCAACACCGCCGAATTAGTAGGCCCGTAGTGTATTGAAGTAGTATACAGAGTTGCCTGCGGGCACGTGATGCATTTTATAACTCAGATCACATTAAAGCTTCCCAGCATGATGACGTGTTTGTGGCAAATGGTATTCCTATTATGAAAACTTGGTTCCTTTGTATTTCTTGTGATAGTAAAAAGTTTCTCATACACGTATCCACATATCCTTAGAATCACAATGTCCCCCCAGATAAATGATAATCAAGCAGTATTAATACATTAATAGCAACAGTTTCTACCACAGTGTATACACATTCTATGTATACACACAAGGAGGCAGCAGCCTGAAATAATGTTATAAATGACATCCACTCTAAGTTTCATGTTAGGAGAGTAGAATGATGATGAATAATTTGCTGATGGTAGTATTTCACAAAACATTTGACCAAATTAAATGAGGTCCATACTTCTTTTACATATCAAACGAACACCTCGAACAACTCATTCAATGCATGATAACTGTAATGTACAAATCGAAACATTGAAAAGAACTTGACGGGCGATGGGAAGTGAATACGGTAGTAGAGGCATCAAAGATATATGTTAAATCTGTGTTTCTCAGTCAAGGACTTAATAACAATGTGATGTCCGTCAGCTGTCACAAGCTAATGGACACTCCATCATTGTACGGCTCTGGAAATAGCGAGATGTTCTCTTTGTATAATGCTGTGATTTCCTACATTGAAAGCCCATGTATACTATTATCGTTCTTGTATCTTTCTCTTTACGATGACTACTTATATACCGCTGTTCATTATCAAATTGTGCTCATCAAAAGCTTACGTTTATATAATATATATATCTTTTTGTAAATATACACGCCTTTTCCTCTGATGTAGAAATGAGATTTTACGGCATGAAACGAACATTACATACTCATGGCTCTGAATTCTTAGCTGGTGGTAGGGATATTGATATTGTAACAGTCAGCTCAATATGTACATTAACAAGAAATTGAATGGAAGAATCATACAAATTACAATTCTTACCTTAGAGACAGCGAGAGACGAGTCAGATTGCTCAGCTGTTCACGTTTAGGAACCGTCTGAAGGGAATTTACCGCGAGACCAGCGAATCGTCGGAGCAATGGATGCCTTCGTCAGCCGTATGGATGCACGCAGCGTTGGTATCAAACTGCCACGTCGCACTGTCCAACTGGTTCCTTCACCAAAGAAACAATAGAAATAGATGTGTTTATTTTTGTCTCACAATCACGCTTTATCTGTAGATTCGATTTGTATATCGAAATATACAGTTGCCTGTTGTCTCTTCTATGCGACGGGAGATATTGGCAAAGTGCGAATGAACAATAAATGTCATCTCTACCACTGCGTTGTCGCAGAAAATGTTCGCGGTAGGCTGTCGCGTCGGTTCGGGTTGTTCTGTGAGGCGATGGGCGTGTTCTCACCGAGGTCAAACAATGGTTGCATAAATTATTACAACATGAAATTGAATATTGAATATGCATTAGCAAAACAATAAATAATCTACAACAACTCCATGACCAAATAAGGCAAGGTGGGTGATTTGCTTACCCTAGAACAGAGGTTTTCCTAGCTGCTTTTCAGTCGTTTTTGGTTATGTTACAAAGAGGCCGAATAAACCTACCTACTAAAGATAGTTGACTTACAGTTCGTTCCGAAAATGTAAGATGGAAAAATCTGGAGCTAGGCTAACCGAATCGCTTAGGAAGATGGAATAGAAATGAAACCATCGTGGAATTTATAGGGAGGGTATATCTTGGCGGGGAAAACCACATCTGTTGTTTTGCAACACCCAGCAAAATTTAAGCATTTGTCGACAGACATGTATTGAAATTAAATAAATGTAAACAAAAGACAGGAACCCACACCCATATTCCTTTTAATATAGTATATATCAGTAACAATAGAGAGGATTTCGAAATACATGTTTGTTAAAATTTAGCTTGCAAGTGATATGGTGCAATTTTCAAATGAAAATCCCCAGCGTTCTCTCAGGCAGACAAAAAGATATCGTCATTACCACAAGTAAATATAGTTCCTTGTCAATACTATATTTCAGGAAGTATTAAACAATTGTTGATTTTGTTTGCATGCTTCAAGATCGTGAATGTACGAAACCCACAACCAAATTCCCTTTAAATTTCAATACCTTTCATAGTAATATGGATTTGAAATGCTAAACCGTGTTATATACATGGTCATACAAACGGTATCATGTGCAACCTCTTTATTGAATTCCCCTGTGCTCTACCATGTTGCCTAACATGTCGACAATACCACAAATAACCGTGTTTTTTATTGCCAAATTGTATATCAGGAAGCAAAATATAAAAGTATAAAATATCTGTTTAAAAAAATTCCCTTATAGTAATGTAATCAACGTTTTATGTAGAGGGAAATATCGGCGCCATTGCCAAAAGTACTGCATTGCCTGTATTATGTGTGCGTTCAAATAGTAATAGGTTAGCGGTGAACTTCATTGGTTACAGTAATAATTAATGGGGCGAGAAATTAAATAAGATAACAATCTAGACTTGATAATCATCAACGATTTATATCAGTAAGTTTGAATGAGAATAGTAATGAGATTAATATGAACCTATTATGAAGTTGCGACATGCAGATTCAATGCACCATTGACTTTGTACGTCATGTGTAGTACTACTGTTAAATACTCTAGTAATTATTGAAATTGATTGTTTTTGTGTCTTGTTCAGTAAATGTTAGCACACATACATGTTAATTATCATTTTTAAAGTATTCAATCACTAATTAGCAGTACACAGATCAATTTGGTTAGAATTTGCCCTATTTAGGCAAATACCACTTTATTGAGACGATCCCTGAATAGCCGGCGTCTTTCCACTACCGTACGAAGAGGACGCAGTGCGTTCTTTTTCCTTGTCAGTCGAGAACTCATATCTCCTTATAATTTTGGATGATTGGAAATTCATCAATTGTTTTACAATTCTTCATTGTCGGTTCGTATCACTGGTCAATTGTTGACCCTAGAATGTCACTTTTACTCGTAAAAACTGCTAAATCCTCAAAATCACATGGGGGATGTAGGCTATCATGTGTTTTACGAATGGTGCACAATTTATACCACTGGTTTTAGAATTTCCAAGGCGGTCCCACAATTTGGTTGTCATGACCACCTTCTTCTTTCCTGTTCTCTCCTTCACACGTGATTAACCCATTGACCTTGTATTTCATTCTGATACGACCACATAGCTAGAGAAAGAGTAGCATGTTGGAATACAACAACCATTTATTTGTTTTGTCTGTTTTTTTCGAGTAATAAATTCCCCCGAGTTTGGTTCTAGGTTAAAAACTAAAGTAGCAAAAACTATTTTCGGCGGGAAAATGCAAGCTATGGCGTAATACAGTCCTGTGTATGATGAAAATGGAGTTCCCCTTTACATTACATCAGCTTGAACATATAACAAACTTGGTAGACAAAATTTAACAAGGCATCATATTTCGTTTATTATACATATTTTTGTACTTTTTAAGTTTTTGGAGAATGATTGGCCCGAATTCACAAAGGAGGTTTAGATTTAACCCAGGCTAAATCGCGTCATAATACGTCATAACCCCGAGCTTTAGACCATGGGTCATTATTTTGGTATTCACAAAGGAAGTTTAGATTTAACCCAGGCTAAATCGCGTCATATTACGTCATATTTTTAGCCTGCTCAGAAGGGTGGTTTAAACAGCGGGCTAAATCTAACCCACGGTTTAACCCACGGTTTAACGCGTCATTTGACGTCATACCAGCGAGCTTTGGCTTTTTAGCGCAGACGACCGTACAAATTTTGTTGACAAATTTGTGGTGAAACAAAGTGAAGAGACCTTCACAAAGTTGCTGTTTTTTTCAACTTTGATAGCCTACATTGTAAGTATTTTTAGTTATTCACAACATATGTGTACCATATTCTCAGTTCTGCTACAATGGAAGCCCAATTGAACATTATTTATGTGCGTAAAAAGTGCACGAATAATAATCTTCATCGTAAGTTGCACAGCCTTTGCGAACATTGTCGCAGAACCTATCGCAGCTCGGACCCATGCGTGTGTATTTGTGTTGTGTTGTTTATGTAATCCTGCGAGGCAAGGCAATTTCGCAATAACTGCGAATGTGCCAGCTAACAATACGAAATTAGTTATAGGGTCTAACATCACACAATTGTGTGATTCGGGAAGAAAAATATGTTAATCATGACATTTGAGACATTCCTGGCCTCGGGGGGGGGGGGGGGGGGGGGTAGCGACAGTTCCATTTGTATTTTCTGCTCTGCTGATGCTGCTTCTCATCTGACTAACGGAGGCCTACTATATACAGAGGCCTGGTCTAGACGTAGATCTAGACTAGTCTCTAGTACTACTAAGCCTACACTGACACTCAGTACTGACTGAATAAGACTTGAGCTTGAGCTCGAAGTCGGTGGCAGTGAGACACGCAAACACGACGTGGGCCTAGGCTAGATGATAGATCTAGACCTAGATCTATCTAGATCTAGTCCTCAGTCTCAAGAAATTAGTCAAAGCACGCCAAACCATGGCATGAATTTATTAAAAGTATTTTGTAAATTATTGTAAGAGATGCAGATCTAGATCTAGAGGTCTAGAATCTAGACCTAGATCTAGATCTAGTCTAATTCTAGATCTAGACTAGAGGTCTAGGCCTATTCTAAAGTTAGATTTAGAAATTGAAATGGAATAAAATATTTTTCAAAATAGACATCTTGGGTCTAGACCTAGACTAGATCTAGTCTAGACCTCTAGGTCTAGTCTAGTACTCTAGAGATCTAGACTTTCTAGATCTAGATTCTAGAACTAGTAGGCCTAGACCTAGGCCGTAGGGTCTAGTACCGGTATAGACTAGACCTCAGGCTCTAGATCTAGAATCTAGTCTATGTGGTCTAGACTCTAGACCTTTCTAAACCTAGACTAGACCTAGTCTACTTTTCATAAATTCATGCCAAGCCCGCGCCGATGGTTTGTTGTGTTGTGTCTTGAGAAGTTGAGTGTTTGTGTGTCTCACCGTCACTGAGTTCGAGCACAAGTCTGAGCTGAATGAGAGGTACTTTGTCTTTAGGCCCATCTAGATAGATCTAACTTAGATCTAGACTAGTCTAGACTCTAGTACTGACTCTCGAATGTCTCTACACTCGACTCCTACAAATGTATACTACATGTACATCATGATCATGTCTAGGCCTAGAGTCTACATCAATACATTGTTTTACTTGAATTTCGAAGCAAGTTTAAAATCTGTGCAAGCAAATAGCCAATAAATCAATGTGTGTTCTTCCTAATGTACATGTAATCTTAGTCAAATTCAACCTTTCACATGGGACATCTAATGCTAATTTACATGTAGTCTAGATCTAGATCTACATGTATCTAATTTCACATTTTATCAAGCATGAGTAGATTTTTAACAAAACATGACAGGAATTGGCCCCTACGTTCTTTTGGAGGTTCAGTGACATCATCTTTCCTAATTACCCAATACTAGTATGAATCAATAGCACTCATTTCTTTAATGCAATCAAAGTAGATCTATCGTTAATATTTTTTTTAGAGTTTGCAAAAGCTATTCAAAATCAGATTGTCTACAATACAAAAGAATGCAAAACATGTAATATCATAGGATTTATTTGATAAACAATGAATGATATTTTTTCATTTCATGTTCTAATTTTAATTCACTTTTTTCTATTTTGTTGTGACAGAGACAGCATGGCTGAATATATTCACCATCTCCGCCAGCTTGATCGGAACAGAGAGTTGATAGGCAGACCTCAGAGAAGCCTTCGTGACCCATGAACCCTTTTGAAGTGTATGATGATGATTCATTTTGGACCAGGTACTGGTTTTCCAAAGAGACAGCGCTCTACCTCATCAACTTGGTGGATAAAGAGCTGCGGAGGACGACAGACAGAAACGACCCAATACCTATACATAGTGACAGCACTTCGATTCTATGCTGTTGGTGAGTAATTTACCTTATTTAGTATTTAGTAAATTTCTATTTAATCTGGGCTGAGCGAAAAAGTAAAAGGGTAAAATTGCGGTTACCATGTTTTGCGGGAGGTTTTTTCATAAACCGGGAGATTCTACATCAAAGCGGGAGGAAGGGCGTGGTGGCGTGAGACTCCCTCTAAATGCAAGAGGGTTGACTGCCCTGATTTAATAAAAAATCTATTCTACAATTTTAAGGACATTAAACATTTCTCAGTTTGAGAATTTGATCTGGCCATGTAACTTATAAGAAATTGTACTAGTTGATATTTCACTAAAAGGATTTTTTTTTCTACAGGGTCATTCCAAAAGATGCATGGTGCATGATGGGGCACAACTTTCACAGTCTTCTGTATG